CATACAATTCCAACCTCAGACATTGTTTCCTAAATAATAATCACTATGCCAGCCTGGCTGGGTCCAGAGTCACTTCTGGAGTTGGCTTTGTGCTAGGCTGAAATTAGTCCTTCCCCTAGAACCTCAAGCTATTATATGAAGCCCAGGTCAACAGCCCAGACTCCTCCCTTCATCAGAATCACTTTATTACCTTCCCTGTTGGGACCCTAGTCAGTGTTACCCTGACCCAACAAGTCTCTCATCCCCAGCTTCCAAAAGGAGGAAACTGGGGTGAGGACACCAGGGCTTCCCTCAAGAAGGCAGGCCCTGGGCTCCTTTTACACCCTGATTCTCCTCCTGCCCAGTGTCCAAGTTGTTTCTCTAGGCAGTTCAAAAGGTGAGAGCTTGTAAGATGGAATTTAAAACACACTGGTTGGGAGAGCGCAGGCCCTGTGCACAGCTTGTTCCTACTTAACAAGGAAAAAAAACAAAAACAAAAACAACACCACTCTGTTGCCTTGCCCATGCCTCCTAAAGTGCCTAATTGCTTTCTATTTACGTAACTAAGATAGAAAGCAAGTGATTCTTCCCAGAACAAAGATCATCAAGGTGATTTTCTATCCCTGCCTCCCAAAGAGAAGTAGGTGCAATTTATTTCACTAAGATTATTAATCTTTGTGTAACATGTACCCTATTTTAAAAATCAGTGATAAAGTACTCGTATAGTATATGACAAATTATGTAATTTGCCCAAGGTGGAAACAGATCTCCACCCCCTAACCCAAGCACTGAACCTCTTCTACTGTGCTCCCCTGTTTTCTCCCATGCTCACCTGTCATTACTTATGTTTATAACTCAAATGCTGTAGTCATACTAATTATATGTAGTCCTATTTCACCAATAGAAATGTCTTTAGGCGTAGGCACTCTCTTCCAAACTGTTGCTAAAAGAGAGTTGGGCAAGTGTATTTAGAGCATTTATTTGGAAAAAGAATATATTTACTATAGGAGAAAGTGTTTACAAAGTTAGATCACAGGTACGTGGTTTCATAGTTCTAGAGAGCTTGAAACTGAATAGCAAATGGGCATTGGGGTCACAACACCTTGTTAACTTCAATTTTCCCTAACAAACGCAAACAATGCAACCTAATCGTATGTATCCTATTTTAATCTGAAATTTACAAAAATGTAAATATACCTTGTTAACAAAATATTCTTTAGAACTTATGATTTGGAAAAGCTGTCTACAAGGTTGAATAATCTCAGTTTTTTTACTGAACGCCAAGTTTGTTTTGCTTTGCCCCTCCTCAGGGGAAGTGTAACATAGTCAACTGACATTTTCAATTTATCAGTTTAATGACAATCATCTCTTAGCCCTCTCATCTTTCAATTTGAGGATAATGAATAAAAAAGAAAAGCCCAACTGGATTTTTTTCATCTTTTCTCAAATTGTACTATCTTCCCCCAGCGTTTTTATTCTCCTCAATGAAAATGAAAAGGACATGCATGTATGTCATATTTCATAAACCAAAACCAAGTTCTGACATGTCATTGATAGTTTGTGTCCTTTTAGAGCAGCGGTTCTCAACCTGTGGGTCGCAACCCCTTTGTAACAATGAAAATACATGGCCGTATTAGGAAGGTTGAGAACCACTGTTTTAGAAGAAAATCATGATGCTGTAAACTGTTTACTTCACCATCTGGAGTTCTTACTAGAAATTCTAAGAGGTCGAGGAATCTCTCTGGTAGTTGCTACAGATCTATGGGAGAACTCATTGCTATTCTTTAACAAAACTTCAGTGAGACCTGAACCCTAGCCAGCCAAAACTAGACAGGGTTCTCCCTCCGTCCTCCAATTCTAGGACTTCCTCTCACATGGTTGCCCTGGACTGGTGCTGCATAGCACTGTGCTGGCTCCAGGGCTGGGGCCAGGAGTACTGCTGAGCTGTTCCTTTACCTCTGTTCTCCCACACAACTACTTCCTTAGAACTGCCCGCTTATCACCCTGTTCTTGCTTGATTATTGTTGTTGCTATTATTTCATATATTGGAAATTTGTGGAGCTTGTGTGGATTTATTTAGATGTGGGTAGGCTCTATGTTGGGAAAAAGAGAGTATTTCATACTGAGAGAGGATATGCATTTTCCTACAGGCTAGGTAAGGTCTGCATTTTTGCCTTAGCTGAGTGTATGGATTCTGTATAGACAAAGATGTTCTAAGGCTCCTGTTCCCCCCATGCTCTCCCTACTCACTGTTAGCACCGAATGGAAAGTTCTCTACAGTGATGGAGAGAGAAGACAGTAAACGGTTCTTGAAAACCTACTATGTGCCAGAGGCTGTGCCTGATGTCTATTTGCCTTACCTCACTTAATTTTCTTAACGATCCCATAAGGCTATTACCACTTTCTTTATTAAGAAACTGATGCTCGCAGAAAGTAGGTAACTAACCTCACAGAGTCAGAGTGGCAGAGCCAGGAATGAAATCAGCTCCTTCAGACTGAGTAGCCAGTGCCTTCCCATCACCCACACTGTCCATTGTGACCTTTGAAATTGGCAGAGGAGCCCAAACTCCATTCTAGGTTTAGGGTCTAGTTATTGGGTGAGGTCCCATACATTTCTCTTAGGTTTAGGAACAATCAGAGTGGAAAGAGACTTTGGACTCAGGTGTCTACTAAACCTCTGGCCTCCCAGCCTCTTTGGAGAGCCCTTCACTCTGGGAAGTAGATGCTGGGGTTCCATGCTGAGGGGTGCTGGGCTTCTCAAGGGCTTGCTGAGACTCCATTGGTCTTTTTAGGGCTGCTCCATGCCAGCAGCTATGCTGTTGTTCTTCCGAGGCCTTAGCGTCCCTCACTTCAAAGTGATTACTTCTTTATTACCTTAATATGACATCACTGGCCATCTGGTGGACTTGGAATGTGAAGGAGACTAATCCTGCATGATAATAATTTTCTCATGGCACACCAAACCTACGGGGATATCCAGAACATTTGCTTTTCAAAAAATGAATATTCCATAGCCTGTGCTGTCCGGTTAGCCTTGATTAGAGAATTCTGTCATTTGAATAATTTGGAATTGTTTTACAGATAGATGTAGAGCTACGCGAAAAAGTATTTTTTCCTTTTCTTAAGGATTTATAGAATATTTAGAGTTTTTATTTGCAGAATGTAAGCAATAGTACCCTATTTTTCTAATTTTTTTCCTTTGTTACAAGGAAAATGTCATTTGATTTAAATTGACACTAAGCTCATCTCTTTTAGAGCAATCAAAGATTACAATCCGATCTTTATCAATTCTGATTAGATTTCTTCCTCAGACAAGAGTCTGCTACGTTTGTGCTATCAATGGAGCAGGTGTTTGACTGTGGAGCAAGCAGTGGACATCCAGGATTCTTCTTCGCCAGATGTTCACAGGCCTTGGGAAGAATTTCCTCTATGGGAATTTAGAAATCCGGTCTCCTTTGTAGGGGGAAAGTGTGTGCCCTGTGCCTGGGTACCCATGGTGTGGGGTTATAGTTCATTATTGGCCTATAACATGCTGGCCGCAAGGCTGTATTCCATACATTGTCACATCTCATTTAATCCTCATCGCTACCCCCATGAAAGTAAAGGTGTGTAAAAGTTATGGTGTAGGCATATGATGTTTACCCCACTGTTCAGTTAAGGAGCCTGAAGTTCAGTAGATCGATCTCCCAGTGGTTACACAGGTAGCATCTAATGATAGCAGGATTCTCCTGTTCCTGCTGCCTTGGTCAAATATAACACCCTGAGTGGAAATGAGCCATGAGAAGAGTTTTAGGATATCAGGCTGGGGAAGTGGCTTTGAATTTTATTCTAATTCCAACTCGGTTTTATTCAAAACCAAGTTTGTATTCATTTATTCCTTCAGTAGTTATATTTTGGGAACTTAACAGTGTTTGCAATCTGGGAACCAGAGACATGAATGAATTAAAAAGCACAAATCACTGCCTTCCAGAGCTTAGATTCTGGTTATTGAAGGTTTTGAGCAGAGACATGACATGACCCAGCTTAGGTTTTACAAAGGTCCTCCCAGCTACAGTGAGGAGCATCACTAGAAGAGAAGTGAGGACTGAGGCAGAGAGACCAGTTGGGAGGCAACTGCAGCAATCCCAGCAGCAGGTGGTGGAGGCTTAGACCAGAGTGGTGGCCCAGATGGTTATTTTTTAGAAATAACATTATCAGGTCCGAATCAGAATTGATTTTAATTTATGGTCACAACGTGGAATTTTAGCATACTGCTTCACTATTTTTTTAAGTTCAGAAAGCAGCTTCTCTGAAGTTAAATTTACTGAGCCTTGTCACTCAAAACTGGTTCTAGGTCTGCCAGACCTGCCATTAACTATTAATAACTCCAGGATATAGATTTGTATATCACAAGTCAGTAAATTGCCACCACAGTGTACATTGACAAAGTAAATAAATGTCATCCACATCCAAGTAATTTTCAATTGGCCTTAAATGAACGACCTTGTATTTCCAAGTAGAAGAAGAAATTGGCCATGAACAGGCATATACATTACACCTGCTGTTTTCAGTTATTGTATTACTGAGCATGCCATGGGCAGCTAGCTCTGCTTGTACTACATGCCTTGTCTCAGAGTAGATCCATATGATTTGCTTTCAGTTAAGATCACTGGAAGACCCCATGATCTGCTCAGGGTCCTCTTACCTGCATCTTCTGTACGTAATTTAATATCCCACTGGACTTGGCCCCCCCTTGGGTCCTGCTGAACAGGATATCCAGTTAAGGATGTGATCAGAGGTGCTCACTTACTGGCCTACAGATAGCGTTTCTCACAACCGCTTTCTCCATTAATCTGCCCAGGATATTGGCCCCGAAGTTTCCACTTTGCTGGGTCAGCCCTGGGAGGCAGGAAGCCCTACCAATGAGAGATGAGTGCCTCTGATTTCCTCCTGCCTCCACAGTGCAGATGAGGGCCCCTGCCAGTTGTTAAAAGTTTAAAGTCAACTGCAGTATCAGTTTTTAATTTTTTTGTGTTTCCCAGGGCTGCGTCCAAAGAGGACTCTGCGCCTGGTGCTCTGGACTGCAGAGGAGCAAGGTGGAGTTGGTGCTTCCCAGTATTATCAATTGCACAAGGTAAAAACTCTTCCTGCATTACTGAGCATTTGCATGATATCAGTATAAGCCGAAAGCATTGATTTTTGCTGTTAGTTTTGATTTCCCTGTAATTGTCCCATTTGAGACTTTCAGTAATACTTTGTGGTTGACAGACCCTGGAAAACACCCCTTCTTATAAACCTTCTTCATCCAACCTTGTAAACAAGAGAGCTGTTTAGGTGAACTAAAGATGCTGTGATGTGAAGCTGAGTGCTTTTCTATTTCTCCATCAGTCTGTGGCCAAAGAAAAAGTCCAGCTGCAGATGCTGCCATGTTCTTAGAATCTCCCTAGCTCTGCTGCAGTGTGGGCCAGAAAATCGTAACATGTGAACATTTTCTATCCCACACCGAATGCCCCCAATCCTCCTGGAAACCCTGGCATGTAAGAGCCAGGTTCTGAGGTCTGGAGTCAGCCAGGAGCGTTACATGATGGTGGTGGGAACGGCAGCAGCCGGAAGTCTCTGTGCTGGCAATGAGAAGGCTGGCTTGTTTTACACTGGCTATAATTAGGCAAGAGCGAAGCATGAAGCAAGAAGGTGATTTGGGGAGACTGGGGTTAGAAGTACAAGACTGCATTTAGGATGGGAAACTGGGAGATCAATACCAAGAACATCTTTTAAGACAGCAAAATACACAAGCTCAGAATTACTCTGGATCAAGTCAAATGTTAGTTTAAGGAAGAACTCCCAAATCAATGGACGTGCTGCTGAGCAGTGTGGGTTGGGCTGAATTGTTTCTACTGGATGTCCAGATTAGAAGAAACATATTACAAGCTGAAACGATCCAAATCAGACAGGGATTTATTTGTTTTGTGAATTGTGTTTATAGTCGGTCTCCTATTACCCTATATCAGTTAGAGTATAATGAGTTTAAGGTTATGAATTTGGTCACTGAATATAATTTATAATTATTTACTATACAAAGGACAACCTAATGCCCCACCCTTCCCATGTTAGTTCTTTTGGCCTCAGGTGACCCTGAGGGTGGGATAATTTAAGACAAGTGCCCTTTTGTTGGTTGGGTCAGTGAACCACTTTCTATATGTTGTGGTAGACTAAAATATCAGAGAAGAGTTGTTCTGGATTCAGCAACATTCAATCAACATTTTCTGAACACCTACTATGCTCCACACACAATGCTAGGCTTTAGCATCATTAAAAAATTTCACCCTGACCTTAGAAAGACTGGCTCATGTCCATCTAAAGGACATCAGCCAATAAACTTCTGTTATAATACAAGGTTGTACATAGAAGGTCTTCAGTAAAGAATAAAGTATTGAAGACAGACACAAGTTCACCTAACCTGGCCTTGGAAGGCAGGCAGAATAAGCTATGAGGAAGCAACGACCTCTAAGCTGAGACCAGAAGACTGCCCAGAAGGAAGCTAAGGAAAAGGAGTGGAAGGGAGGAGAGGAGCTGTATGTGCGAAGGCAGAGGCCGTAGGCAAGAAAGGGCAAAGCACACTGGGGAAACAGGGACTCAGAGTGGCTGGTGCAAAGACAGAAGATGCACACAAGTGGGGGTGGGGGAAGGAGTGAAGAGGAAAACAAGAGCCTGAACAAGAACATGCAAATCATGCTTAGAAGTTTGGACTCTATCCTCAGGGCGAGAAGAGTAGGTGCATTATTTTTAAGGAGGAGCTTTAAAATTCTTTACATCTTGGGCTTTATATAAAACAGAATACCTAAAAGAAAACTGTCCTAAAGCTCTTTTATTCACTATAATATACTCTACTCCCAGAAAAAAAGAAATGGAATTTAAACTGCAATGGGTCTGGTTCACAATTTCCTTACCACTGAAATTCCTAGGATCTGAAAAAAGAGGTATAATATGTATTTGTCTCTAAGATTTTGAGTTTCACTGAAGCCCTCTAAAATGCATGGATGAAGTCATAGATGACTGGATTTTAAATTTCAAAGAGGTTAACAGGGATCTACACACCCAAAGCATATGCAATCATATTAACAGAGCTGATTTATCTTAATATCTGTGCTGCCTTCATCCCAGTAGCTAGTGTGCACTGGATTTTCAAGGATAAGAAGAAGAAATTCCAGAAAGGCAAAACATAAGCTTTTTGTTTTAGAGTAGTTCTTCATCTCTTCATAAAGAAAGCCATCCTGCATGTTTTATACAATACAGCCAATTTCAAAGGACTTATTCTGGATCCTTATGATCAGTACGTTGGTATTGACATTGTCGAGATTATAATTAATCTTATCTAGGGTGGCTGAGTTCAACTTAAAGTAAATGTAATAAGCAAGTCACAAATCAAAGGGGATAAATTAGACTGTCGTTAGGCCTCTCTAGGATTATTGCATGCCAACAAACAGTCCAACAATGTCCAGGTTGCTCCAGTTACAAAAGAGAGACCCTCTATTCCAAATAAGGTAATATTAATGCTGAAACAAATACACCCTTCAATGTCAGTGACTCTACATAGTAGAAAGTTATTCCTTGCTCACTTAACACTCACTGTGCATTTGGGCTCTGCTGTATGGTTATTCAAGGACCCAAGATGAAAGACTCTGTGGCGACAGGCTTTTAATATGCCTCAAGTATTGACATCTGACTGGCAGACAGGGGGATGGTGGGAGGTTTTTATGGGACAGTTCTGGAAGCAGCTTACATCATTTCTTCTCATATTCCATTGGCAAGAACCAGTCACATAGTCCAACTGCTTGAGAGGCTACGAAAGTGGGCAGCCACTTCCTAGCAACAGCTCTACACTGCAGTAGGGAAGTGCACGTTGGTGGAGCACTGACCCACTTTAAGAACTTCCTCTCACTTTGTTCTGATTCCTCAAACACTTCCAGCTGCACAGGAGTCCAGTTGCCCCGAGGTCTTCACCTCCCATGGTGCTCAAAAAGATCAGCTCTGTGAGCTGCCTAAGAGTACTCACGCCACCACTACCAGGAGGCCTTTGCCAATCAGCACACACAAAAGCAGAGGTCGATCTTTGGCTGTGAGGACCTTACATTCTACTTCGAAAATAACTTCAAACTCACACATGAGAAATTTAGTATATCAGACAATATAAAATAAGGTTTTAAATTATTTACTGAAAGTATTTTATTTATTTATTTTTATTTTTTTATCATGGGTTAATACAAAGGCACATGTGATTAGGTGACATTATTTGCGTTTGCAAGGTAAAGTCCAAAGTCTGGGTTGTAGTTGAGTCTTTCCCCCAGGAAGTGTGCCATCTGCCCCTCCATTGTGCCTGATAGGTGGGAACTAATCGAGCCCTCTCCCCCTGCTCCCCTTCTCGAATTGGTGTTTTTCTCTTATGTGGGCCTGTAGTTGTCCGTCTGCCATTTTCAGACTAGTACTGTGTACATGGGAATCTTGCTTTTCCATTCTTGAGATACTTTCCTTAGGACAGTGATTTTTGCATCACACCAGTATGCCATGAGAGGATCTTAGGTGTGCTGCAAAAAATTTTAAAAATAAATGATTAAATTACTTTGAAAAAAAGTTCAAAGCACAGTGAGTATGTTCTTTTCTTTACTTTTTTTTTTTTTATCAACATAGTTTAAGTGTGCCAGGAAGCTTAACTATAGTTCAAGTGTGCTGAGATATAAAAGAGGTTAAAAAACACTGACTTAGGAGAATATTCTCCAAATCCATCCAGGTAAATATAAAAGATGCAAACTCTCCATCTTTTTATGGCTGAATAGTATCCCATAATATGCATATGTCACAGTTTATTAATCTGTTGAGGGGTTGATGGGCTCTTGAGTGGTTTCCACCCAGAAGAAAAAAAGCCATTTTACCTTAAGGACATTTGCACTAAAACTATTTTATTTTTACAAAGGATTCTATATCACTGACGATATACTGAGTGGTGTAAAGTCTTAGCACAGTAAATGTGAAGGAGTTAGAAAAGGGAGAAATCCCTAAGACATGTTGGTCATGAGGAAGGACTCAAGACCTGATGAGGAAGTGGATTTCAGTGAGTAACTAGGAAGGAGGAGAAGGGACAGCTCTTCCCTTCATATAGGGATCCTGGGTCCAGGGTTTGCCTTTGCATCAATGTAGCTGATACTACACAGAGACGAAAGTTTTATTTGGGAAGATCTAGTTTAGAGATTATAAAAATAAAAGGATTGAGCTTTTTTCACAACTGCTGACCTTTTTATGACACATTTATGCTATTAGTGATCTGTGCCAAGAATCAGCAAAGTATGGCCTATGGGCCGAATCCAGCCTGCCACTTGTTTATGTATAGACCTCAAGCTAACAATGGGTTTTATGTTTTTAGCTAGGTGTGCAACAGAGCTAATATGTGGCCAGCAAAATTTAAAATATTAACTATCTGGATCATTACAGAAAAAGTTTGCTGACCCTTGGCATATTCTGATAAAAGTCAGAAAATGTTTTCATATTACAGCAGAAACTCCACAATTGACCACTTCCCTACATTGACCACTTCAAGTTGACCTTATTTTCATAGATCAAAGATATATCACATGTACGTATCAGTACAGAGGCCTAGTTCCTTATGTTGACCACCTCCATATGTTGACCAGTTTGTCACAGGGTCTTGGGTAGTCAACTTACAGAAGTTCTACTGTATTTCCATATAATAATTTCTTCTGAAATTAAATGATCTAACAGTTTGTAAATTTTGTTTGGAGCCAAATATTTTCCAATGTAAGTATGTTACAGGAAGATATTTTTGTAATGATATGAATTTGAGTGTATAATCTTTTTTTAATTCTTATTTGGTAGTTTGATGGTAAAGTTGGCTAAACTTATATGATACCAACTATGGAGACAGTATGTAGAAAATCATTATTTCTTCTTTCTCTGAATGTATTCTTTCTGAAGTTCTACAAAAGCTATTTTAATGGACATAGCTTAATTTTGAGGAGATAAAATTAGCATTGATATGCATTATGCTTTTCTGAGCAAATATATCTTTGTTTACAATTCACTTTTATTAATATATGTATAGAAAAATATAACTTAAAGAGATTT